GAGGTCAAACGGGGTCATATATCGAAACGCGGTTTTCATGGAAAGTTACTACGGCCTATGGGCTACCTGATGATGTGCTCTGATTTGGAATTCGGTCAATCCATCTACTCGAAAACTGCTGTGCAAGTGTATTTTCGACATAGCCCACAAATGACCTTAGGTCATCGCATGACCTTGAGAGGTCAAATGAGTGTTGGGAAAGTAAGCATAGGCGGCGGAACGGGGGGGGCACCGGGGCACCGTGCCCCCCCTTGAATTCTGCAAGGGGGGCACCAATAGCAAGGTGCCCCCCTTAAATTTGATGTATTAGTACCAGGGGCGGATTCGGGAAAACTCTAAGGGGAGGTTCATGAATCGAAGTGGTGCCCCTACCTATGCCCAAAATTAAAACCTCAACGGATTTCGGCCACTTAATTTTGGTGGTGCCCTATTTTCAGTTTTTTTCTTTATTTTTGGCTAGTCATGTGATGACTGGTGCCCCTGCTAAGCCGCTGGTGCCCCTGGAAAGACTGTGGTACCTACCTACCCTGCCCCCTGACAAGCCTACGGTGGGCCCTGACATGACTTAGGTGCCCATGGGCCCTGACAGGCCCGTGGTGCCCCTGACAGGCCTGTGGTGTCCTTGCTAGGCCTGTGGTGTCCCTGGGCCTTGGCAGGTTTGTGGTGCCCCTGTTAGAACGCAGGTGCCCTTGACAGGTTTGTGGTGCCTCTGACAATCCTAAATTGCCAACGACAGGCTTGTGGTGCCCTTGACAGGCCCATGGTGCCCTTGCGAAGCCGGTGGTTCCCCTGCGAAGCCGATAGTGTCCCTGACAGGCCTCTGGTGCCCCTGGCAGGTCTGTGGTGCCCCTGGAAGACCTGTAGTGCTTTTGCTAGGCCGATGGTGCTCCTGACAGGCCTGTGGTGCTACTGACAGGCCCGTGGTGCCCCTGCTAGGCCTTTGGCACCCCTGGCGGGCCTGTGGTGCCCCTGTCGGCTGTCAGGCCTGTGGTGCTCCTGGCAGGCATGTGGTGACCCCAGGCCCTAAGTCATGACCCATGTGACCTCCACCCTGGGATTCGCCACTGATTAGTACTGCGATGGCTTCTTGGGAATTATACATGTAGGATAAATGGAATTTATCAAACGACAATAAGGAAGAGACAAACACATAGGTACTTGAGGATCAGCTTAAAGTTAACCACACATACGGGCAGGGGTGTAATTTTCCTAAAATGATTGTGGGTGCCCAGCTGTAGGGGCGCCCGGCGCCAGGCCGTTTTGGGGCGCGATAGATATTCTTTATGTGGGAGCCTAAATTAACACCGAATTTGATAACATTGCTAGCCGAATGGCGCTTCAAGTGACGTGTCTGACTAAGCAAATACACGCCTAAAAGTGGAAACTGACCGTAAGGACGTAAAAAATATGTAGAGAGGCGCCATCCAGTAGAAGGGGCACCAAATGTGGAGGCGCCAGACGGTTACGACTTACGAGGGCGCCGTGAGACGATGAAAAGGGCGCCATTCTCTTAGGAGGGCGCCGAGTGATTGAAAACGCTATGTGGTCCAGGGGCGCTAAGAGGCCAGAAGGGCGCCGCACAGTCAGTAGTGCTACGTTGGTGGGGACGTGGGGGCGCCAGATGGTTACGAGGGCGCCTTGAGATCATGAAAAGGGCGCCATTCTCGTAAAAGGGTGCCGAGTGATTGAAAACGCTATATGTGGTTCAGGGGCGCTGAGAGGCCAGAAGGGCGCCGAATAGTCGAGGGATGCGCGGTGAACAGAGACCATAAGGACGCGCGACGGTCAGGAGGGCGCCGTTAGACCATGAGAATGGCGTGGTGCTGTCAAAAGTGCGCCGTTCTCCCAGAAGGGCGCCGAGTGATCAAAACGCTATCCATGAACGCGAGACGGTCAGGAGGACGCCGTTAGAGCATGCGAAGGGCACCGTGCTCTCGAAAGGACGCTTGCAGCCTTGTAAAAGACTTGTGGGTGCCTTTTCATCATTGTGGGGGCATACTTCAGGATTGTTGGGTGCATATGCCCCCACAAAGAGATATAAAATTAGGTACACCCCTGCATACGGGGGGTGAACTGCCATTTTCGTTTAGTAAAAAAAAAAAAAAAAAAAAAATTATCGTGTCAGGGCTGTGACGAAAAATAAGTGGCCTAAATCCGATGAGAAAACAGGATTTGGGGTACCCTAGGTTTGGCTCCTTGAGCCATGGTGCCCCCCCTTGTCTCAAATCGTTCCGCCGCCTATGAAAGTAAGATTAGATGCTGGCGAGTCGATTGTTGCCATTTTTAGCGCTCTAGCTCTACTGGGTGGGCCACAATCTGCTGTGCAAATTTGGGCCACGTGACCTATGCTGACCTCTGTAGGTCAAACGGCTGGGAGTGCCACCGAATGACTTGGACTGTGGATTGGGCATGTCATGGCCTACATTGTGTGCGAGTTTCAGCTTGATCGAAGGTGTCCCGAATCTGGGCTGAATCCGGGCTGCGACGTTTTGAGTGTCGATTATTTGCACATTTTGACCTGCAGAGGTCAAACGGGGTCACATATCGAAAAGCAATTTTCATGAAAAGTTACTACGGCCTATGGGCTACCCGATGATGTGCTCTGATTTGGAATTCGGTCAATCCATCTACTCGAAAACTGCTGTGCAAGTGTATTTTCGACATAGCCCACAAATGACCTTAGGTCATCGCATGACCTTGAGAGGTCAAATGAGTGTTGGGAAAGTAAGATTAGATGCTGGCGAGTCGATTGGTGCCATTTTTAGCGCTCTAGCTCTTCTGGGTGGGCCACAATCTGCTGTGCAAATTTAGGCCACGTGACATTTGCTGACCTCTGTAGGTCAAACGGCTGGAAGTGCCACCGAATGACTTGGACTGTGGATTGGGCATGTCATGGCCTACATTGTGTGCGAGTTTTACCTTGATCGAAGGTGTCCCGAATCTGGGCTGAATCCGGGCTGCGACGTATTGAGTGTCGATTATTTGCACATTTTGACCTGCAGAGGTCAAACGGGGTCACATATCGAAAAGCGGTTTTGAAGGAAAGTTACTATGGCCTATGGGCTACCCGATGATGTGCTTTGATTTTGAATTCGGTCAATCCATCTACTCGAAAACTGCTGTGCAAGTGTATTTTCGACATAGCCCACAAATGACCTTAGGTCATCGCATGACCTTGAGAGGTCAAATGAGTGTTGGGAAAGTAAGATTAGATGCTGGCGAGTCGATTGGTGCCATTTTTAGCGCTCTAGCTCTACTGGGTGGGCCACAATCTGCTGTGCAAATTTGGGCCACGTGACCTTTGCTGACCTCTGTAGGTCAAACGGCTGGGAGTGCCACCGAATTACTTGGACTGTGGATTGGGCATGTCATGGCCTACATTGTGTGCGAGTTTCAGCTTGATCGGAGGTGTCCCGAATCTGGGCTGAATCCGGGCTGCGACGTATTGAGTGTCGATTATTTGCACATTTTGACCTGCAGAGGTCAAACGGGGTCACATATCGAAAAGCGGTTTGAAGGAAAGTTACTACGGCCTATGGGCTACCCGATGATGTGCTCTGATTTGGAATTCGGTCAATCCATCTACTCGAAAACTGCTGTGCAAGTGTATTTTCGACATAGCCCACAAATGACCTTAGGTCATCGCATGACCTTGAGAGGTCAAATGAGTGTTGGGAAAGTAAGATTAGATGCTGGCGAGTCGATTGGTGCCATTTTTAGCGCTCTAGCTCTACTGGGTGGGCCACAATCTGCTGTGCAAATTTGGGCCACGTGACCTTTGCTGACCTCTGTAGGTCAAACGGCTGGGAGTGCCACCGAATGACTTGGACTGTGGATTGGGCATGTCATGGCCTACATTGTGTGCGAGTTTCAGCTTGATCGGAGGTGTCCCGAATCTGGGCTGAATCCGGGCTGCGACGTATTGAGTGTCGATTATTTGCACATTTTGACCTGCAGAGGTCAAACGGGGTCACATATCGAAAAGCGGTTTTGAAGGAAAGTTACTACGGCCTATGGGCCGTAGTATGGGATGATGTGCTCTGATTTGGAATTCGGTCAATCCATCTACTCGAAAACTGCTGTGCAAGTGTATTTTCGACATAGCCCACAAATGACCTTAGGTCATCGCATGACCTTGAGAGGTCAAATGAGTGTTGAGAAAGTAAGATTAGATGCTGGCGAGTCGATTGTTGCCATTTTTAGCGCTCTAGCTCTACTGGGTGGGCCACAATCTGCTGTGCAAATTTGGGCCACGTGACCTTTGCTGACCTCTGTAGGTCAAACGGCTGGGAGTGCCACCGAATGACTTGGACTGTGGATTGGGCATGTCATGGCCTACATTGTGTGCGAGTTTCAGCTTGATCGGAGGTGTCCCGAATCTGGGCTGAATCCGGGCTGCGACGTATTGAGTGTCGATTATTTGCACATTTTGACCTGCAGAGGTCAAACGGGGTCACATATCGAAAAGCGGTTTTGAAGGAAAGTTACTACGGCCTATGGGCTACCCGATGATGTGCTCTGATTTGGAATTCGGTCAATCCATCTACTCGAAAACTGCTGTGCAAGTGTATTTTCGACATAGCCCACAAATGACCTTAGGTCATCGCATGACCTTGAGAGGTCAAATGAGTGTTGGGAAAGTAAGATTAGATGCTGGCGAGTCGATTGTTGCCATTTTTAGCGCTCTAGCTCTACTGGGTGGGCCACAATCTGCTGTGCAAATTTGGGCCACGTGACCTTTGCTGACCTCTGTAGGTCAAACGGCTGGGAGTGCCACCGAATGACTTGGACTGTGGATTGGGCATGTCATGGCCTACATTGTGTGCGAGTTTCAGCTTGATCGGAGGTGTCCCGAATCTGGGCTGAATACGGGCTGAATCTGGGCTGAATATGGGCTGTCTTGATCAACATAAAATCATCTTGGTTATTGGGTAGTTCTATTACCCGTTACCTCCTATTTCTGATTTCTTTCTTTCTTTCTTTCTTTCTTTTTGATTTGATTTAAACTTAATTTGATTTTGATTAAATTTATCTTATTTTTATTTTTATTTTACATTTTGTCTTTCGTTCTTGGCGTTTCTTGACATTACCTCCCGATTGTGTTATGTTGACTTATTTATTTTAATTAAATTTTATTTCTACACTTGTCACCTCGGAACTGGCCTCTGTGGGCTGTCCGACAACAAGCCTTGCTTAGTTGGACGGCCCTGCAGGGGTTCAGTAACTGATCCTGCTCGAATTTGACCAGAAAGATCACCTTCAACCATCCACTTTATTTGTATGACTGCTCCCCCTCTATCACCTTCCTCCCACTAACATTACCCTGTATGAGTGTATATCTGTGGGCGTTTCAGGGGTGTAGGAGGGCAGTCACTAACTGTTTGCAGTTGTGACCACTTTGCTTCTCTTATGTTAACATATTAACAGCATGCTCACTCCACAGCTATTTGCTTTCTTTTGTTTTTTTCCTTACTCTTAGCAGGGAGTGCCGCGACTTGTCATATTAAGTTTGGTCTGGTGTTAACGTAAGGTTCTGTGTGTCGCTGGGATAGAGGGAGGGCGCACTCCTGGTCACCTATTCATGGGTGGCGGCGTAGAAAAAAAAGCGACTGGACGATAATTCATGATTGAGGTGCCATGGCTGAGAAAGTGACGTGTCTATATTTGGATACCTACCTGTTTCTTGAAGAAGGGTTTCCGCTTCTCCCTGGCCGGAGGCGTGGTGAGCGCCGGCTTCCCCTTCCCCACTGAGTCAGAGTCCTCGCCCATGTTGGTCTCCATGCCATTCTGGTCAGCGTCCAGACCTGGAGGAGGAATTCACAGTAGTCGTCAGTGACATGGAGGGATTCACAGTCATCGCCAGTGACAGACTGCCACAGACCGCGGTAAGAGTTGACGGAGATTTACTGCTATTAGCTGTGACTTTTAGTGGTGATACGCGCAATACGGAGGTGGGCTCAAATGTAGCCGGTTCTCTGAGTCATGGTTCTAGCAAAGCACCGGGGTTAGCTTTGGGTTAAGGGATTCTAAATTAAGTAGACGCTGATGCACGCGAGGAAGCACTTCAATTTCGTTTGTATGACTCCCCCCTCGCCCAGAAAAAGACACAAGCAAACGTTCGGATGACTTCATTAATAAAACGCCTATAATGTATGAAATCTCGCGGTCACTGGCGACGACAATGCACAATAAATGAAGAGCGAGCTCTTTGAAAATGACATATGACGGTCTCGCTGATCCAGTTTGAAGCACGGACTCACTGGTGGAGAGGATGTCGGCGGCGGTGCCGGCCGGCGGCGGTCGGCTGCGCGTGCTGCCCGCTTGCAGCAGTCGCAGCGTCTCCAGCTTGGCCGGGGAGGGGATGAAGCCGACCTCGGCGCCCTCCTTCACCAGCCGACCGATCCACCAGCTGTTGTTGTACTTCTCCTGGACACACAGACGTGGGAGGCATCGGTCAGAAGTGGCGCACGGAAAACGGTATACCGTACCAAAAGTACCGTCCGCCGGAACCCTTATCCTGAGACTTATAGTTTGTGGATGAACCGCCAGGTACACTAAGATTCAGGTCACTAATGAGACGTAGGAACCGACTTGGAAATCGCCGCACGATGTACCCAGGTTATATCGGAGTGGGACTAGGGCAGTGGTCGGCAGGTCATTCGTGGTCGTGCCCCCTTTTTGGGCGCCAGGCAGGGCCATTACCCCCACCTACCAGACCCCATTGCTGACACAACTAAGTTTACTGAAATTCCATACCGTCCTGGAACTCTTTGGGTATTTTTGCATTTCCAATGCATCAAATTTAAAACATGACACTTCCTCCACAAAACATTTAATGACTATATCACAGTAGTGGCGGAACACCTTCAATGAAGGGGGAGGGGGGAGCACTGCCGACTTTTGGTCCCATTCTTTCCATGCAACGCCCATAGGGCTAATGTTAAAATGCAAAAATCAAAGGGTGCACGGTGCCCCGGTGCCCTCCCCGTTCCGCCGCCTATGCTATATCCCATTTAACCCTTGTACGTATAGGGGCGGCGGGTGGTTTTTCGTTAAAAGCTCACGTAAAAGGCATTGGATCACGACCACATTGTACCCTCGAGCCCATCATTTTTTTTTTTTCACCAGCCCGGAAAATATCATGACCTGAGACCAGTTTTACCAACAGAAAAATAACCGCCTGCCGGAATTTTTGCCTCAAGACCGCTTCACATACCGAGCGTAAACGCGATGGGCTCGTAAGCGGATAGGGCTTTACCGTTTACGCTCCATATGTGAAACGATCTTTAGGCAAAAATTCCGGCAGGCGGCTATTTTTCTGTTGGTAAAACTGGCCTCTGGACCCATAATGACCGTTGGCTTATGAGCTTTTTCTGGAGATCATCTTGAGCCATAAAATCTCACTTCAAGAAGTTATAGCGGGTCCCGATTTTCTCGACACTTATCATTGCCCTCTTGAATGAGACGGAATGACCAAGGACCTTAAAAATGGGCAGCAGCGGCTTCCTATATGGTCACGGGTAGCACGCTCGTCTTTTTTATGCACAGCTCCATATCAGAGTCCGGGAGGCCGCGGGGGTCCGATCGACTCCTCCCCCCTTACGTTAGCGGCTGTTGAAACGCCAACAGACGGGCGACGGTTAAAAGTTGCAGCTGCTTTTGAACGACTGTACGGAGGGGTGAGATGGTGAGGCGAGCAGGTACGTGAAAATTGGTATCTAATCAATGTGTGCTGTGCCTTTGGCCTGGGCTAATCTTTGAACCCTGGGGGCTGGGATGCAACAGTCACGATGGCTCCATCACTGGAGCTACAAACTCTAAAAAAGATAGGCTTTCTCAGAATCCCTCATTACCCCCACCGAAAGGGCTCCATTACCCCCAAAGGGGGCATGCCCCACCATTTGCCGACCCCTGGACTAGGGACTCTATCGAAGTCTATCGAACTCTAACCGAAGATGCGAGATACAGCATGCATATAAAGGAACACGGGTCTTGGAAGGGAGGTCAGCTGCCTACATTTGCTGGTACCTATACTTAGCTAAGTTGTTAAATATTGATGGGTCAAGTGGAGCGTTCTGCAGCGAACATACGACCATATTATTAAGTTTGCATGCGGCTGCAATATATCAATACCTGTTATCTATCCGGTTCCCTATTCGCATGACTCGGGCTGACTTTCTAATGTTACCTTACTGATTTAAATGCACGGCTCTTACGAAGAATTCCTTGAGAAAGTGTTTCTGGGAGAAGCATGCTTCAAGTAAGGACTTTATGTACCCAATTCGTCACTGTATTATATGCAATCGAGACCTTCGTCTGTAAGCTTACAGACAAAAACCTTGACACTGGACTCTGATAATGTTCGTCGCTTGAATATTTTTGCCTTTCTTTGCAGTTTCGCTGGCCATTATTGAGAGGCGTAACTGCATAAGAGCGACAACCCCTTCACTTGTTCTAAACGTAACGCACCAACCACCGACCAGTGTTACCACCCTATCGGTCCGCGCGCCGCGGTTCGTGCGTGGCCGGGGGTCCGAACACGTCATGACGAGCCGAACCAGTGATTGTGGTTGGATCAATGATACATAAATCACTCCCGGACGACTGTCAGATATCTGCGGTCTCGGGGGCTCAGCGCGCAGCTCAGCTGTCAGGACGGCTCAATTCGATCGGATGTTTCCGGTAATGTACGCACTCTCAACGTCACAATGCACGGCTGAACTCTAGGCCCTGGACGCTAGGGAATTGAACAGGCATTCGTCCTTCCGTGCCAATTATCGAGTGACAGTATGGTGCTTAGTGGCCAAATACCCTTGCCGTTGCAGGAGCCGCTTTGTGGGCGTACTGTGTACCCTGATCATAAAAAAATCCTTGAGGTCAAATGATAATTGCTTATATAAGTCCTGGCTGTCGAAGGAGACTTGACACGGAGAAGGTCCCTGACTGTCTTACCTTGACGCGGAGAAAGCCGTTTATTTCCTTACCTTGATGTGAAGGAAGTCCTCGAGTCCTTACCTTGATGTGAAGGAAGTCCTCGAGTCCTTACCTTGATGTGGAGGAAGTCCTCGAGTCCTTACCTTGATGTGAAGGAAGTCCTCGAGTCCTTACCTTGATGTGAAGGAAGTCCTCGAGTCCTTACCTTGATGTGAAGGAAGTCCTCGAGTCCTTACCTTGATGTGGAGGAAGTCCTTGATGTCGAAGGAGATGGCGGAGCCGTGGACGGGCGAGTCGTCGTCCAGGCTGCCATCGTAGGCGATGTTGGTCCTTACAGCAAACGCAACCGGCTTCGTCTGTAAGGGACAGAAAGGGCCGTAATATTGTGGGGGAATGAGGGTAATGTTATAGCTGGTTGGCGTCAGGGCATGAATTCAACGTCATTATTGGCTGCTTGAGAACTTTAAGCTATGTCATCACACGTATAAATGCTGGCACGACCCCTACCCTACCTCGCTCATCCGCCCCACCCCCACGCACTACTCTTCCGTCCTACCCTTCCGGTGCCCCACCCCTCGTGTTTCTCACCCGTGCCTTCTCGAGCTGCGCCAGCGCCTGACGCTCCGTCTCGCGCCGGTTCGTCTCTCGCTCCTCGTCCAGTGACAGCTCCGACGACGGCTGGGAGTAGTTGGAGTCGGCCGACCCCTGCAGACACAGACAGACAGGCGAACCACGTCAGAGGTAGTTCCTAGAGCATTCAGTAGCTAAACCCTTTGCCAGACAAATCAACACTTACGGTGTGATTGATACTTGTCTGTGTTATAGCCTACCAATTCGGGTATTGAAGCAAGCAGTGATGTGGCGAAACACGCGTTTTCTTTTCGTCTATATTTGGTATGTAAATTGAAGGATTGGTTGAATAAAACTCATCCATATTAGTCGAGCTGTTTTCGGCGAGGTGAGGGTAAAGGGCCTTGTATACGCCTGAGATATAATGTAAAATAAAAGTGTCGCCTCCAGACTGGCCCAGCTGAGTACCCAGAAATGGCCGTGCCAGTGACCCAGACAGCGAAACTGCCACGGAACAAAGCCGTTATGCGAGCTGATAATTATACCCCGGTGCGGCACTGGACAATGGCAGAGACTCGTTATGTTGATGATCTTTTCCTAACGAGTGTCAGACGGTGTGCAATGGCTCATTCGGTCACTGAACACGGCCTACTTTGCCTTTCTTGTAAAGGTGAGTTTTTAACAGCTGAGTGCAAAGGTCAGAGGATGCTGATTTTCTACTAAAAATGCGCCCCACCTTGCAGCTAGCTCGAAAAAATCGAACCACCGACGGCCTCCCCCTCAATGCTAAAGGATCCCCAGTGGTGTGTCTAGCCCGGGGAACCCCCGACTCACTTGTTACCGATCGATGCCACTAATGCACGGTTGGTAGGATCGTGAGTCGCGAGACAGCGCAGTTCACGGGTGACGACACTGGGCAGTTTCCCGTAATCAGTCGCATTAGACTTTTGAGACAGTTTGGAGACACTTGGTGGAAACGTCTGCATGTGCACTTATTTCTTGTAAACTGCATGGATCTGAATGCGTCGCTTTTATTCGCTTGTTGAACATCCATTCATAGCATTTTCCCTTGTGCGTAGGTACTCCCGTGCATACGCCCTCGTGCCTAGGTATTAACCTCCCCATTCCCATATTTTGTACGGCATCTTTGAGGGGCGTTACTTTCATGCAATTTCTTCTTAGATACTTTATTTTGATGCTGCATAAAAGTGAAAATAATTTGATAAACCTTATTCTGGATCACTGCCTAAGAAACAGTACCTTTAAAACACAATGACCTGATTTTACCATTATCATTATTCATTGACAGCTTATTCACCGGAGAACCACAAAAGACGTTTTCTCGTTTTAATGCCAGCAATCTAAGGCTTAGGGTTGACAAACTGAGACAAGACCTTAAAGGGAGATAATGAGCTTTCTTTTTTCTTAAATAAAAATTACTCGACATCTATACTATTTCTACTGTAGTTTCTATAAAATATGAAAATTTCCTAGCACATTTTCGTATGTGAAAAAGGTTTTTATTTTTGCAAAAAAGAAGCAGTACTTGCAGTACTTGTAACACCCACCGAAATGCGTTGTCCTTCTCTATAAAAAAGTCGCAGTATATGGCGCTTTTGTTTCAAACAGCGACGCTTGGGTTTTTGTTTATGTTATCGCCTTGTCGTTGCTTGGTTGTAAGGATTCTAATTTGAATTAGAGTTAATTCGGTTTAGAATTAATTAGATTCTAATTCGGGGGTACATAGTGCCTACTCTTCTTTGTTTCCAACATTATTTTGCGCCACAAATGAACGGCATGCGCCAGAAACGCAGCCAAATCTTGCGATTGCGACTACGAAATTCATTATTTTGGCCTCAGAGCCTGAAGCGAAAAATACAAGCATATTTATTTCAAAAAGACTTCAGGTTTGTCGAACGGTGTTATGAGAATTTTGATAACAGTACTGCATAAGTTTTTCAGTGATGCCGCAAAAGTGTTGTATCTATCTTTTTTATTGTGCAGTCGGCGGGACCGATTCAAAATTGAGTCGTTGCTACTAAAATAGCAGCATATGGCGACAGATGATGAACAGGAAAAATAGTTGCGTAAATTTAGACATAAACCACCCCCAAACCATGAATATCTTTTGAAGGCACTATAGACGACCATTAACTAACTAGATGTGATGAAGATCAAATGTAAGGAATACGCTCATTTTACAAAATTACATGCAAGTACCAAAAAGTGATGTAAGTACTTATTCAACGGTCATTTTCAGCGCTCCCCGCTAACGTGACTTCAAGTTGAGATATTTGCGGCAAGGTACCGAATTGAGCAAAATGGTTTTAATTTACATTATAACTTGTTGTGTTTTGTCAGAAAATGGTCCTAACTCAGATTTTGTGGAAAAAGGTCATAATCTCCCTTTAAGTCTCATGATCAAATCTGGACTGGAGCCAGGAGCCCTGGTCACGGAATGTTCGATTGTAACGTTCCCTGACCGGGGTAATAGGACCCGGAGCTGTGTGAGGTTTGGCGCAGACCAAGTGTTGCCGGGCCAGACGCAAACAAATCTCCCGAACACATAAATATCGCTTATCGCGGGCGGTACTGACGTCGGTGGCACAGCATGTTGAACAACGTGGCAGTTATTCTGGGTGGCTTCGATAAATGCCACGTAGTATATTGTTTATGTACGCAATGTACGCAGTGTGCATTGTTTATCGTACGAATGCCTATTCATAACATGCGTTTTGCCAGGGTACCTGTTACAAATTTAATTAATACATCGTTTAATTTAAGTATGAAATGACGTTTCACTACGGACTGAATGCAGCTTCTTTCTTTTCTGAGCAGAGGTTCCTCTCGGGAAACACGCCCTCATTAGTAGGTTGCTGCGTTTTGGCTGTGGTGAATGTTGCACCAAGGCATAAACATTAAACATCACACAGTGCTCCACAGGAGTTTAGACCATTAAAAGATGGAATCGACTATCAGCACAAACCAAATCAATCAGAAATGCTATTGAATTTAAACAAACCTTAGAGAAGATGTATGGGGTAGCGAAACCTTTGTTTTATTATAGCTTGGGAACTAAGGGAGATAACATTTTGCACACTCGCCTCAGGCTTGGTATGTCCAGCTTAAACTCTCATATGTTTCAAACAAATTCATCTTTGGTAGATTCACCATATTGTAAATGCAATTCCCTCACAGAATCAGTACACCATTATTTCTTGTCTTGTCCGCAGTACGCACAAAAAAGGGAAGAGCTTGAAGCATCGTTAAGACATTTAATAAATATTTACCATACGCTTAACTCAAAAGATAAATTAACTATTATACTTCATGGTCCTGGAAAAAACAGTAGCCTGTGTGTGGCTGTGGCTGCTTCGGTACAAAAGTATATCAGGGAAACCAAGCGCTTTGAGTCTTAAATATGAGATACTGTAAAGAAATATGATTTGTTAAAGGTAGGGAAGCCACGGAAAAGTGATGTGTGATGTGGGGTGTTTGTTGTCAGTTATCATGGACCAGTGTGAATGATGTACCTCGACTTAAGCACGTAAGTGCTTTTGTACTAATTCATACATGCGTCTGGATGTTCAAATACATGTGATTGATTGATTGATTGATTGAGGAGTCCGCCTCTGGGCTCTGCCTGTCTGCTACTTGCCAGTATCACATACCCGGCTCACCACATCAGACTGATGGCCATCCTTCGCCTGAGATCCGGCAGATTAAACTAAATTAGTGATCAGTCAAAGGAGATCGACCAAGTGATAAATTTGGATTGACTCGGGCGACATGGCAATCGGTTTTTAACTGGATTACTAGCTTATTTGGAAGCAAAAAAAAAAACGTAAAAGAGTACGATGAACGATCTTCTAACTATGACTGTCCTTGATGGCCAGGAACAAAAAAACAAACATTTGCTCAGCAGGTACTTTGAGACGGTTTTACAACGAATGTCCACAGGATTGTTTCAAATTTTGTGATAGATGAGGTTGGTTATCGAACTGCGTTCCATATAAAAAAACACCGTTTGTCTAATTGAAGGAACATCGGTCACCCTTTGTCAGCCAATAGTCCGTTTATTTTTCATCTTGCTGGTTTTTTAAAAGAAATGATTGACAAAGTCATTGAATTACGTTTTTATGAAAAATATTCCTTATGCCGTACTAAAGATGGCCTTTATGACGGTCAAAGGAATCCACGTCATTCGTACCCAACTCCTACCTGCCGCGGGAACCGTCTCTTCCACTTGCCCATGGCTTTCCTGAACCGACCTCTGCTTGTCGCTCTCTTACAGTCACCGTCCAATCTACTGGACACCACACCACCACACCTTTATACACTCCTCACTTCTGAGATCGCTGCAGCACCTTCACTGCACTGCACCGCACTGGCCAGTGATCAGCGGCCTGGCCCGGTTAGTGGAAACGTTTGGCCGACTGTTTACCGACTGGCATGGGATCTCATCCTCCAAGGAGGTCATTAGAGGGCTGCACTGGCATATGGCTCAAATATGTTGGCCAGAATCAGGGTCAGGAATGAAAATCGGTAATTATGGATCTGGAATAGTCTCCAACCAGGACAAGTTTTTACGGGACAGGAGATTTCAGAGATGAGGTCAGATTTCAGAGCGGGTATATTAATTGGGTGAAGGGTGTCGGAATCTAGCTGGAGACCGCGGTAGGTCAGGGTTTCGGGCCGGGCGGTGCGGGCGGGTCACCCCGGGGCGGCGGCCGGCGGGGCACTGGGGCCGACCGGACCGGCTCAATGCCAGCAGTCGGCCGAGGGTCATTGTCGGACACCTGTCCGATCGGACCGCGGACCCAGGTGGGGGCAGGCTCAGATGGCGATAATGACACTGACACTGGCACCGGCACCGGCACCGGCAGTGACGCTGACAATGATACTGACACCGGCAGTGATACAGGCACTGACACGAACATTGGAACGGACCCAACATCGACACTGACATATCGGCACATACCAAAACCAACATCGATAATAGACACAGACACTGCACTAATGTGTCATTTGACTGAGTCGACCACCCGTCGCAGTGGTGGAGCAGTAAACAGTGAACACATAGCCCTGCGAGTTGGGATGGGCGCGCCCCGTCAAAAATGCCACTAATCTACTCAAACGGTCACCCCGACCCTGCAACAGCTCTCCTCAGCGCGGTTGTTTAGGTTGGGTGGCGGTCACTCCGTCACAGAGAAGTGTGGTCAAGAGTGTTCTCAAGACTGATTGATAAGCCGGTCCTGAGGATGGAGAGAGTGGGCGGTCGCTGGTGAGGGCGCGGTGCCGCTAAAACCTACCAGTGGGTCTGTGTCGCACTCCAGCAGTCGGTCACTGCTGCTGCTCAGACCCCCCGGTCCGGACTTTGCCGAGCGCTGACTCCGCATCTTCCGTCAGACGGTATCGACACCTGACCTGACCTGGCGTGACCTGGCGGGGCTAGACCCGGCGTCACCGAGTGAATGACCTCACCGGAACACCTCGAGACTTCGTAGTGCCGTCACCACCACAACTGTCTCTGCCACTCTGCCACCGTAACATCTTGTCATTTCACTCCTCGTTACATCACATAAACGTCACAGCTCCGTGATATCGCACGTCACAGCTCCACATGAAACGTGAGTGACGTGGCACCGGTACCAATCTTGCGACTGACTGCACTAGGTCTCCACACCCGTCCGTCTGTCCATCCGGCTCGCAACACTCGTCGATCCTCACTGTCGTCGGCTCTCCCTTCGCGACTGACTTCTGGCTCTCCCTGAATGACCCGTGCTGCTCTGAATGGAACAGCCGATCCGGCTCGATAATCACTGCACGGAAGCGATGCACCTCTTCACGCATCAATAGAGCGATATGTTTCAGTCACACCAGGATGTGCTGGTCGCTTGTAACAAGCACGCATCGCTGCTCGGCGCATCGGACGCGGAGATATCGCTGCTTCCGAGATGTTCGTATCCGCACAGTCGCGTATTCACTGCAGCCACTTCCTACAACCACACCTCTCGGCGCTTTGAGCCGCTCCTCGCGGAAGTGTCGCCTTCGGCTGCCACAATGCACTGTTACGCTGAGAAGAACCGCGTGCTGCCAGTCAGCGCCAGCCGGTCGCGTCCAGTTCTGAGCACCCACTGAGTAGCGAGATCCCGCTGTCGCCGACCCGGTACGCGTCCGGCAGTCAATTTGTCAATGTGGTAGAGCAGTAGTGCGGCAGTGCGTTGATATGTCAATGCGTGAGCATTTTGGTTTTTCAAGGCGCCAGTGCGTCAATAGCCAGCACGACAAAGCGTCAGCACGTCTATGAGTCAGTGTGTTAGTAAGTCGTTGTATCAATATATCAGCACGTTGGAACGTCAGTGTGTCTGTACGTTATTACGTCAGTATCTCAACACGTCGGTAAGTCAATGTGTCTTTGCGTCAGCGTCACTGTGTCAATGTGTCACTGCGTCAGCGTCACTGTGTCACTGTGTCACTGCGCCCACACTGCAGCACACTGCGTCCTCCGCTGCGGCTCTCTGTCGTCTGTCCCTCCCTGTCGTCTATCACCTGGCGATCTCTGGGCGGCCTGCCGGACCGGCCCCGGCGGGGGCGGCGGCGGGGGCGGGGGCGGGGGCGGGGGCGGCGCCCACCGGAGATAGCCGCCGGCCGCCGGAGATGAGGGTGGCCGAGCCGCTCGCGTGAGCCCGGCTCCGTGCCGACTGTATTGGCTCATTATTCGGTGGTATTCTTCTGTGGTCGGTCCGTGGTGTCTCGTTGGGAAGAAGTGAGTTTCGCACGCGGACACGTTCCGGCTAATTGATTGTTACGACTTACGTTTGATGAGTGATAGTAATTAATGAATAGTAGGGATGATGTAGGTCGTACCGATACCAGGCTCTGAGTTGCTCGATAGGATGCTTTCATGATGGTAAGGTGGGCATGCACACTGCACAGACCGGCATAATAATTAGGCATACCAACATATCATAATTGCCGGGCCCTGAGTGCTGGCTTTCTGGCTGGCACTGGTCCATTTCATGCAGGCCAGTTTTAAGAATTTTGGAGGGAGAGAAAATTAAATTCGGTGAATCCTCCATCGGAAGTCCCATCAGCATCGACTTTGCTATTTTTGTCCTTTCAGCAGCATAATCTCAAAATAACCATCAGCTCAATAGCATCATCAGCGTTTCCAGCTCACACGAAACGTCCTACGCCCGCCAGCTCGCGTGAGCGCGTGTGTCACGAACGGCGTCGCTCTACTGAACCTCAGAGCCATCTAGAGCTCAGATGGGAACTAAAGCCTCCGCGCCGTCCGCCAGGCGTCCGTAACCCGTCTGACCGTAAATGAGGTGACTGATGAGACTGGCGGAGGGAGGAGGGGAGGAAGGGGAGGTCGCAGTAACCGCTGGGTTGCGCCACTCTGGGCTCCGCTCAGCGTTCGCTGCGGATAGGACGTTTTAACGTTACGGCTGAGTGCGCTGAGGTAGGGGGATGCCGCTATAATCCGGCGATAACTAGCATCAGTAAGAGAGTAAGAGCTTAGGGCATTAGGGGTGCAATGTCATCCGCTTCCTCTACCCTCAGACCGGCCCATCCTAACTTTGATCACCATTCTCCGTGCTGACGGGCCCCCACACCACACAACCGCAGTTGTCACCCTTAGCTCTGCGCAAGTGTATTTTTGGCCTTGGTGACCGTTTAGGTTTGGGTGCCTGGACAGGGTACGTTTTCCCGAGCGAGCGACAGTATTGCCTTCTTCTCGGCTTTGTCAACATATGAATCATCCAGTAAGTGAGTGCGTCTCTCTGTTTCCACGCATTGTTTTTCACTGCAAACCTGTCGATTGTCGTTTATCAGCGCTAGTAACCGCGGCACGACCTTCCTGGTGGAGCGTACCATTTCGCCCCGTATTGTGTCGCATTGAGAACGGATCCGCTTACCGTAACAAAACGAGCACAGGAAGGCCCAACTCTAATTACTCGGCCGAGGAAATCCTTTGTCCTATCCTGTATTGATATGGAAATATAGGTGATGTGTTGTGGCTAGGAGCTCAACCGATTCCTCAGATAAGCGCCAGGTCATTGGTCCCGCGCCCGATCCCGGTCGCTGTGGCCTGCCTGTTTTTATACGGCCGGCCCAAGCATGTGGTAATGGCCCAGTAAAGAATGCTGAGTGCAGGACGGTGAAAGGCGGGGGAAGTGGAGGGTTGGATTGGCAACCGAGTACAGTATCAGGGAGGTATAGGCTGGTGACAGAAGACTGAGTATATCAGGAAGGTTTAGGTAGGCATCAAAGCTGGGAAGGTGGGTGATAAAGAATACCAATGCGGATTGTAGACGGACAGCCTTTGGTAGAGTCGCAGGCCAGTAATTGTATGATGACATTACGTTACAGCTCCTCGCGCGCACGTACTGGGGAGGCCAGCCGGACCACAGGTCACTGGTCAGTGACCTGTGGTCCGGCCCGGACGATCCGACAGAGAAAAGTCCGCCATTAGCTGCTCCATCAAACCCGCTTTTTCTCCGATCTGCGGTGGTCTGCCCTTGGTCCTCCAATGGTCCGTCCACAGCGGTCCGTCTGGTCCCGCAGCGGTCCGCCCAGGGACCTGTTACCCCACTCCGCGCCGTCGCACCCATTAGCGTCCTGCCGTGACGGCTCCCCCGTCCTCTGCCGGCGGTGCTCCCTTCCTCTGTCCTGCCTCCACGGCTCTGTAATTGGGCCACAACGAGCCACTTGTCTGCAGCCCTTCCGAGCGGGGCGCCGGGCGGGCCGGACGGCGGAGTAGCGGACGGCGATGGGAGAGATCGGGTTGAAGGACTGGACTGGACAGAGGAAAGTAGACGGGATGTGACTGACAATGCAGGACACTCAACGCAAGCCTGAGAAGTTAAACTTGAAATGCAAACAATTGTATTACCCTCGATGGCAAATTTGAACCATAAAAAGAGAATTGACACTGAGCTACGGAACATGGTCATGTGAAAACTGATAGTGCACCAGGCCCATCGCATAGTAACGGACATCAATGGACAAAAAGTTGGGGCATTGGTAGGGAAACTTGGGCCGGGTTGTGATTGCCGCAAAACGCCTGCCGATTCATGAGGAAAAGCCACGCTTACATTCGAGTGAACAACGGGACAATGACCGGCCAGAAAGAAGATGATGTGATGATGCCCAAAACTATGGTCATCCACTTACACATTACTCACCGCGTTCTCTCAATGTTTGCATCGTAGGTACGCATGTGACAGATGAAATGTGAAATGAACCAAACAGCAAACAAACAAACAAGCAAACAATGAAAAATGGAACCGCATGTATAGGTACTGGATGCATACAGGATCAATGTGCACTGTAGTGTAGGCATATTTAGTCTAATTCAGCGAGTTTGTCGCAAATAACGGCCGGACCGGTCCATAAGAGGAAGGAATGAACCTTTAGTGTCGCTGCACCAATGTTTGAATACAAAAAGAAACATATTTATGTTTTCCCGTTGATCATCTAGCTTTCAATCGATGCTACAGGGTGGGCTGAATTCGAATGAACTCCGTGAATTGAACAAACATGCTGAAGACGAGCCGTATGTGGAATTCTGATACTGAGCGCTTTTCTTTTTAAATGTCCTGATTAATAAAGCCAGATATGTAAGCCAAAGCCAATAATGATGCAGTTTCTGTTGAACATTTTAAAAACATCACATTACAAATGTCCTTAGATACCTACTTAGTTCGGTTTTATCGTGCCCACTCAATATAACTAAACATAAAAGACCGCGCCAATGAAGTTACAACTTTTCAGGGCCTCCCTCCGCTGGCGACATCCAAATCATCCCCGTCCCCTGTCGGCCCTGACCCTGAACCTGCGAAGGCCGGCGCGGAGGTCGCCGACCCCAGGAGACGTCCCGTTTTATCCTTCCTCACCTGGTTCAGGTAGATGAACGCCTTCCTGCGGGTACGGGCCGGAAGGGCGTCCTTCACCTGTCCCGGACCATCAGGGCGGTCTGTTTCACTGGGAGGGGTCACCTCCACCACAACAGGCACCCTTCGGGCCGTCTCTGGAGTGATTTGACCGCCTCTATCATTGTCCTGAGTCTCTGATGTGGTCTGTTCTGGGACATGTGGAGAGTTTCGCCCGTTCGGCGCTGCTCTATCCTCCACTGAAGTTTCGCCATCCTCCTCCGGCGTCCCTCCGCGCTCCTCCGGCGTATCTCCGCCCTCCGCTGCCGTCCTCTGGGCGGTGAATGCCGCCAGGCCGGAGCACACCCTGGCCACGGGGCGCAGCGCCGCCTCCAGTAGCGGCGCCGAGGGCGCGGTCGCTGACGGCTGCAGGCCGACTGTCAGTGACACCAAACCAGCACACACGTCCACCACTGGGGCCACCGTCTCCGGTACATTGAGCTGCACGGGCGGCGGGGGCGGCGGCGGCGGCGGGGGCGGGGGCGGCGCGTGCCGGGCGGCGGCGGCCCGCCACTCGGCCAGCTCCTGGTCGGTACACGGAGTGAACGGAGCGAACTCGACGGCGCTGTTGATGAGCTCCGAGCTGCGCCGGAACGAGCTCGACTCGGACGGACGCCGCGGGAGGCTCAGGGAGAGCCGCAGACGCGGAGGGCGCAGGGAGGTCCGCCGGGTCTCGCTGCTACCCCCGCCGCCGCCGGAGAGGTCGCTGTCGCTGACGGCCCCCGGTAGGAACACGCCGAAGTCGTCCAGTGTGGAGAGCAGCCCCTCGGAGGCCCACGGGTACAGGCAGCGCAGCGGGTTACTGTCGGAGACGCGGCGCTCGATCCGCGGCGGGGGTGGCGGCGACTGACGACCGGCGGCCGCCGGGGGCGCCGCGGGGCGCTCTTCCTGTCCATCTCGGCTGCGTCGGTCGGTACCGAGGAGTCCGCGCAGGCCGCGCCGCGCCGCGCTCTGGTGGTGACGAGTTCGCGGCGGTGAGCGCCGACCGCCCTGGTCGGGCATGGCCCGAACTCGGGCCGGAGTGCGGCACTCGGCCGGTCTCTGCTGCCACTGGACGGAGGTCGGCGGACGCTGCTCGCCGCCGCCTGCTCCAGCCGCCGCACCGCGACCCTCCTGACATCTAGAGGTCGGTGCGTGTACCACGGCAGCGGCGACGGTGGCGGCGGCGGCGGCGGCAACCGTCGGACGCCGGGTTCGAGCCTGGGCTAAGGCCGGTCTGGCTCGAGCAGGCACCGGCCTGTACTTTGAGTGCCACCGGCTGCGGACCGGCATGGTTCAGATACGACCGGCACGGCGAGGGTAAACCACACGACTGAAGTGACCGGGACCTCTCTCAGAAACACTGAGACGTTGGCTGGAAAAACCCGTCCTGCCAGCAATCCACGCAGAAATGTCGGATGCGCTCGGTGAGCAGATATACGCCGAATCCCTGTAACCTGTTCCGCTGCTGTCAATGATAGCCGAACAATGACTCACTCAATTGAAACAGTATAAGCCGAATCCGAAGTACGATGGAACTGGGAAACAGCTACGCAGTTCTGGTGAAGAGAGCTCAGAAGTGATCGAAGAGCGGCAGTCAGTGTTGCTCAGTAAAAGTCGCACGCTCGGTCCTTCGTCCGGCTCGAACAGTTCTCGTCTCTCCAGCCAACTAACCGCACTGTCACTTGAAATCACACTTCAGCTTCCAAACAATTACCTTCCGCCACTAACTTCTGATCGATAAACCAGCGCCTTTCTGCACGCCTGCCGCTCAGCCAGTCAGTCACTCCTGGTCCTCAGCGGGCCGTGCTCACGGGCGAGCCGCCCCGCTCAACTGAAAAGCATCCGCGGGGGACAGAAAAACGTCGTCCGCCTCCGTTCTGTCGCGACCCGACGGCCACCAGACACCCTCTGGACGTGTGTTTGCGTGTCACTGCGGGTCAGCCGGCGCGGCACACACAAGCCAGGCTACCGAGCGAGAGTGGTCGCTCGCGACTGATGGTGGCAAGGGAGCACTGCCGGCCGTCCCGGTCCTGACGGCTCACTGCGGTCCACTGCAGCAGCAGCTAGACCGCACCGTGCCACAGTCTACCGCTGACATGCACCACCAGATCTGCCGCTGGAACTGTCGCCGCCGCCGATTGCAGCTCCCATATCCGCGGAATCGGCTCGTCAGACCGCCCCCTCGTGCCGCCAGCGGTGCTCTTCGGGAGAGTCTGACGCAACAGTACATGGGAAACCGTGCCGGTATGTGGACTCGCCCGGTGGTCTTAAGGACCGACCGGTGTCGCCAATAACCAATCGCTGACCGCAGGCATGACGTGTGACGGCTGCTAACGGGGAGAGTCACGGGATCACGTGACACAGTGGGGAGCCATGGTTGTCAGTCCCCGTTTGAAGTGACGGGGCAGATAACTGCCTCCGTGATGTCTGTGTCAGACATCGGCACCCAACTGCGCCTTTATGAAGGGGAGTTCACGTGACACTTGAATGGTGCGATGTGCAGCGTGGAATGCGAGATTTACAGGAGTTCTAAACCTGCGCAGTGACCCCGCAAGGGACCAGACCTGCCTGGGAACAGTTCGCGGTTCAGTGGTTGAGGCAAAGTATACAAATTCTCTACAGTCCTTCGCGGGACTGTTTGTCCCATAGCCCCAGATCGGCAGAGCCAGCCCAGAGAGAGGATGTCGTCGCGTTGACGGACTGCTCAAGGCATTTGGGTTGACCATTCGTCACACGGAGTTGAACCTCTGAAATTTATCATATCAGCACTAATTCCGCTTCTCGTCTTTAGGAAAGCAATTAAAGCGGGCAGATATGTTTGCACGATAAGTTCTAATGTGGCTTTGGTCTTGCATTATGCATTATGAGTGCATTACTTTCCTCATCGAGCATGGCCGTCTAACATGACGAGCTATCAGCACGTGCAGTTTTCCCAAGAATTTCGGACAAAAGATTCCATGAGATGCCCTCAATAACTTTGCCCAAAGCTAAACACGCGGCATCCCCTCAAACCAGATCAGAGCTCACGACTTGTTTTCAATGCATCAAAATGTTGCCAGTGACAGCGTGGACTTTGAGCTGAGCCTTGGCGCCTGCCGCACGTCAGGGCTCCCTTTTCCGATGTGTTTATCGTGTACACAGCTCGGGCCATCTGTTTTAGCTGGCGCATCATCTCCAGCATAAACTCTTTAGATCTAACGCCACATTGAACTACGAAGTGACACGATGGGTACGGAATGAAACCGCAGCACCAGGCAACTTTGGCATTCGCTCAATGCTGTCAAGTATTTCAGATTGTTTTGCTATGTAGTTATAACTGTTCATTTAAGGCTTATATTATCTAATCGTTGCAGAATGTAGGAGTCAAACCGTTTATCATTCCTCTTTTGAGATGCCTCTATGCAAAATAGGAATGCAATGGTATGAGTTAACCAGAAAACTATCAGCACATATAAACAAGCAGCGCATCAACAGCTGTGCACTTGAGGAACGATCAGTAGCATAGGTATGTGAAACCCCACAGGTCTGCAATGATTCACATCCCTTCTCCCCACAAATTGATGTTTAGAATTGATTGAACGGTGACGTGGCCGAATCACAAGCGCTTCTGTCGGTCTTGACTTGGGCAATAAGCTGCAAATGTCGAAACTGCGATATAAGTGCGCTATTTTTAGCGTGGAAGCTTTGCAAATGCCGTGCAGTTCATGTTCTTTAGGATGCCTGTGTAAATTATTACCTAGTACTTTATGTATTTCTCATTCGCCAGGTTACCGGATCATCCAAAAAGGTCTTCTTCACTCCTCGTGGCCTACAATTAGACAATGTATGTCGCGAGATAGATTACCGCAGTCGCTAGTGGTCAGTGGTCTGCTTTACGACAGCTACATAGGACAGAAGTAGTACAGATATTGTATGTTAAAGCTGGTTGTGATTCTAAGTCCTTTTTAGGGACCACCGGGGGACGGGGGACGTTAGGAATCGATTATCGAACCATTTCCGATCGCTCCTCTGAACTGATGCTGAGAGGGCGACTATTCTGCGCCAGCAGCGCCATGGCGACTTGCGTTTGTCAACTGTCCAGCACCTTCTCGCTTAGATTTCCGTATGCTTTTGTTCTCCCTCGTCGCTCCTACCCAGTAAGTAATTCAACATGGCGGAGCACTGGTGCAGTCGGTTCTTTGGTGCGCTAGATAACTGGCGCAGCAGCCAGCTCCGCCGTCCCTCGTCCCAAACTCTGGGCAATGTGTGGCTGTAGGCCCGGCAGGGTGCCGCAGTGAGGCGTGCTGTGTCTGTCGACCACGGAGAGCTGTTTACACAGGCTTACAAACGGACGGCAGACCGCAGCAGCACCGCCTCCCAGCCTCCAGATACGACCGAGTGTCCGGGGCCGGATGAACCAGCGCCACAGCAGGGGCCTGAATGTGATCCCGGCTGGCCCCTTACAACAGCACCACAGTCAGCCCAGAATGTGTCCTCTGCTGGCCCCAACAGCACCACAGTCAGCCCAGAATGTGGCCTCTGCTGACTCGAACAGCGCCGCAAATGAGCCAGTTCTCCCGTAATGAGTGAGCGCTGCCCAATGCGCACCCGCCTGCCGCTCCCCCTCCCCAGAAACTCGCACTAAAAACACCCCAGGATGGGCCGGGCAGACAGGAATTAACCAGACCAGACCGCGTCTCTGAGATGAGAGTCTGCAATGGAACTGTGCCCTGCGTCGCGGAGGCCGGCACCAGCCTCACCCGGGCAACAAAAACTGGACAATGTACTCTCCTGCAGTCCTTCATTGTGACTGTTTGGTCGGTATGAGACTGAATTGGGACGCCGGCACGTGAACGTGATATACCGTCACTAGTGTCCAGTGCCCTAAATAGCCGTTCTCTTCTCTGCGTTTGATGGCAGGTTCCTGTGTCACTTTAAACAAACGTGTGACAGACCTGGATAATGTTTAATCTCATATTGCCATTGTGACTATTGCAGTACCGCGGGACGCTCTAAAAACTTACCAATCTTCGAAGGAAAAACATGACGATTCACGGATCGTAGCGATCAACGAATACCTATCTTATTCAAATTCATCGTTTCTGCTGTTCAGTGTCATATACGGACAAATGTACCGATATTTTCCGATCCGGCAGGTGCACTGCCGGCCAGCTCCAAATGAAATAATTGTTCGTAGATAAGACGTTTGCAGATCTTACAGCTGTTATCGATGTCATCTTCCACCTCCGTCTCCGTTGAGTCATCAATTTGTCGGAATGTCTACTATAAAAAAATGACAACTACCGACACTAATCCAAGGTGACTTATTTGTGAAGATTAATTGAATCATCCATTTATTACCTAGAATCTAGATAATATAAATATACTCGTTTTCCTGGTATTCAAATGTTTATAAAATGAGCAGTGTTCATTATTTGTATGTGACGTCTGTCTAGTGCACATGCATACCTTACCGTCACACCAAGCCTTATCAAAACATGTGACGCGGCACAAATCTGCCGGTATTTATACGTCACTGGGGGCCGACACAGGGCCTGCAGCGAGGCCCCGCTGTGTCCTGGAATGACCGTGGAGGTACAGTTGTGCCTGCTTCGTCCAGTTTCCCTGTACGCTACCCGTCAGTCTGCCAGTACGAAAAACAATATTTGATTTAGTGCAGATAGCTCCAATGATCCGCAGATGGTCCTCTGATAGTGGTTCGGGCCTCAACTGTCGTGTATTCAGTATTACCTATCATTCCAATTCCAATTTGGCATGGATAAGGACACCTGACAGGTGTCCAGCGTTGACCCACATACATAGGCCTCGCAGAGGACATTGCGTAGACGTGTGATATGTAAGTGACATTGGTGGGCTTCTCATGCAACCATAGAGTAAGCGTCAGCTTTCCAAAAGTAAGAAATGTCAACAAAGATTAGAGTAAGCAACGCCATCCCACACGGTACTCGTGGAATGGCTAGCCCCCCCCCCCCCCCCCCGAGATTGAGCACCAAGAAGTCATGAAAATACAGACCATTGAGCCTCCGAGACACTCGAAGATGGACACATCGAATACCGGCTGCCATATGAAGGACAGCAAATTATA